CCGGCTGCAGCCCCGCCCCGCGCGCAGCCCCGCCCCCCGCCGGCCGCAGCCCCTGTAAAGCGCGCCCTGATTGGCCCTTTGAACCGGGTCCGCCATTGGCCAGCGCTTACCTGGGGCCGCGCCGCTGGCGCGCCGCTCTCCCTGGCTTCCGCAGGTGCTGCCCAGCACGCGGGTTGCTCGCACCGCAGCCGGGCGCTGGCTCTAATCGCACCAGCTTGGTTTTCAAAAGCCCGGAGGGAGCATGTGTCTAGTTTCCCCCTGTGAGGGCGCATCTCGCAGAACTCACTCAAACTCTTTGCAGCCCCTGATGGTGTGTATCAAATGTGTGTCCTATAACTCTGCTCATCGACCGTTTACTGAACACCAGGACTGCTGCAAGCTGGTGTAAAAAATAGTAACATTTATTGAATAGTCATAATTCTTGAATGCTTGTTTTGTGCCAGCTCTTGTTCCTGATCTTTTACAGGAATTTGCTTATCTAATCCTGTGGCCAGCCCTGTGAAGTAGGTATGACATTCTGTAATTCTACAAAATAGATGAGTCCTGCCTGTGAAAATTTACAATCTGGTGGGTATTGGACACCGATTTCATTTAATCCTTACTCGCCTTTGCTTTCCATTAAGCTACGTGCTATTTATCCCTATTTTACAGATGCGGAGAGTCGGGAACGTGTTTAGCTTTTTCTGAGACACAAAGGTAGTAGGCAGCTAGAGTGAGAATTCCAACCTGAGCTCCAATCTGAGCTATTTCCGTTAAAAAGGCACGTTCCTAGTTGAATGGTCGCTGAATCCAAATTCTTTGTTTTCCTGGAAAAGGAAACTAAGGCCTGGGAAAGGGAAGTGACTTTCCAAGGACATGACAGTTGTAAGACATAAGCCTCGGTAGTAACTGATTTCACTGAACTGGTCTTAGGTGTTAGGTGAATGGTCGCTGAATCCAAATTCTTTGTTTTCCTGGAAAAGGAAACTAAGGCCTGGGAAAGGGAAGTGACTTTCCAAGGACATGCCAGTTGTAAGACATAAGCCTCGGTAGTAACTGATTTCACTGAACTGGTCTTAGGTGTTAGGTGACTTAAGATTGTCTGCTATCTTCACAACAATCCCGAAAGCGAATAGGTGCTCTTATCTTGATCTTACAAGTGAGGATACTGGCTTGGTGAGGCTGAGGCCAAACCATTAGCCCACTGTCTTTGTGCTGCTGCATTTCTGCTAGGGATCCAGGTTTGGGGTCATTTTCTTCATTCTGCATCATGATTCTTCACCTTTCATTTCTAACAAATATCTAAAGACCTAGCTGTAGACTCTTTGGGATCTGTTCCTTAGCACCTGTGTGAATCAAGTGTAAAATAGAAATAATAATGTTAAAACTTGTTCATCTTACCTTTCCAGAGCACTGTAGTTGGAGTGAGCGTGACTAGAGCCATGTTGGGACCTAAAACCACATGGGCTCTAAAAAATTTTAAAAGGACACAGTTTTTTTTCGTGGCATGTATTTCTCTGAATTCCCTCTTTCCCCATGGTTATTTGATATTTTGAACCTTAGTTATTGGGTAAGATGACGGCAATTTACATAAATGTAAAGTTGTTTTCCAGCCAGCCTGAAGCTGCAGACTTGCACATACTACCCAGACCCTGAGATAACAGCAAGCACAGGAGTGGAAACCAGATGGAGACTTAGCGAGAATTTGCACCTGGACCCTTGCATGTTCCCCTCCCTCCTGCTTTTCTTTTCCCACGTTCCATTCCCTCTTTAAAAATACCTAAGTAAATCTGAGTCTTGAGATGGACTTAGTCTGGCCATTCTCCTTCAGGTTCACTAGAGAGATGGGTTAGCCTAACATCTCTCCTCAGGTCATTGGTATTCCTGACTTCCGTTTTTACCGATGTTTGACTTTTGAGTGGTTTATTTTTGAAAGGGGGCAGGCAGCCAGACCTGTGTGCCTGGTATCACTGTGAAGAGCAAATGAGGTAATAGATATGAAAATGCTTTGTAAAGTGTTTGATGCTAAATATAAATAAAACATTGCTTCCAGGTCTTTCTCAGTGTACCCCTGGAATGGAATAAATGGAATATGCTAGGTGTCTTATGGCAGGGGGTTTCATTTTGGCTAGACTTGAATTAGTGTGGACTCTGTGGAGGGCTCTGTTTATATTTTCATGTTTTTGATTTTCAATTTGTTTCCTCTTATTATCATACTACCAGTAGCAACAATAGCGTAGTGACTGGAGCTCCTGTAACCATCTTGGACCATGAAAAGACTTCAGGAATGACAGCCACACATGGCAAAGCAACAAGTTGAAAGGGTATGGGTTCCTAACACCGTGAAGCATCAGACCAATACCCAGCTTCCAGACCTCCACATGAAAGAAATAAACCCTTGTCTTGGGTAAGACATTTTCATTTTGTATTTTCTGTCTCACAGGGCCAAACCTAGACATAACTGATACATATACCTTACCTCATAGAACTCTTACAGCAACCTTGCAAGATGATAGATGCAGAAATAGGCCCAGAGAGTATAAATAACTTGTTCAAGTGGCCTAAGTGATATTCTGACCTGGTTTTGTCTGAGGTCAATTCTCATTCTCTTTTTCAATTATGGTTCACTGACTACTGTGAATGAATGAATCATTTTTTCCCATTTACTTCCATTTATTTATTTCAGAGGGTACCCAACTTTTTCTGCAAAGGACTAGATAGTAAATATTTTAGACTTTGTGAGCCATACATCTCCATTGCAACTATTCAGCTCTCCTTTGTAGTACAAAAGCAGCCATAGAGAATAGTGAGTGGATGTGACTCTGTCTCAATAAAGCTTTCTTTACAGAAGCAGGCAACAAACCAATGTGGCCCATGGGCCTTAGTTTGCCAACCCCTGATTTATTCTAATCTGAATTTCTATCACAAAAGTGCATCTGTAACACATTACAGAAGATGATGGATTGTGACATTGCAGGCAATGTCTTGTATTGTTGGTCAACATAAAAGTAAATGATAGTGTGGTTCAGAAGAAAAGGCCCTAAGCTGATAGTCATGAGAGCTGGGCCATGAGTTCACACCTGCCACTGAGACCAGATCTATGTCCTGGACCACACCTACTTGCCTCAGTTTCTCTATCTTTATAATAGGAACAAATAATAATGCAAATGTTATCCACTCTTCCCCATTTTCTATGACTGCAGAGAGACTAAAATGAGATGATATAAGTAATAACATTTTGAAACCTATAAACATTATCAACTGTACGTACATTGCTTAACATTAGGCTGGACCGTATAACCTCCTCTGTCCCCTCCAGTTCTCTGTACTTACCTCTGTCATAGAACATATCAAATGCCTAGTAATTATTAGTGCATTCATCTATCCTCTTTCTTCCTCCCCAACTCTACATAAAGGGATATTGAATTGCACTGAATTATAAGACAATTATTGGCAAGTCTAGCTATCCATCCACTCAGTCATTGTCAGGCAGCACTGGGATCATGCAGTGATATTGTCCACTAAGCACATCACAAGTCATACCAGTGAAGCAGCATGTCAGACTTCAGTAAGTCAGAAAAAGCTGGGTTGTGAAACCTTAGAACCAGCTGAACTGGAAGATTGTGTAATTTCTTTCCTATTCAGAAATGGTTCCATGCCACTCTGGGAGGCAGAGGAGACATGGTGCTCTCTCTGGTGACCTGTGGAGAACTGTGATTCTCTAACTGCATCCTCTGAAAGCTTTTTTCTGCATTAGCAACCTGCCCCCTCACCAGAAAAAAGAGATATTTTTCCCTTGGATTCTTAGAGTCATGGCAGAGAAGGACATATCATTATTCATTTACTCATGAATTCATTTGTCCATTCATACATTTATGTATTCATTCACTTAACAAAAATTTATTGAGTGTCTACTGTTCTAGGCACTAAAGAGAATGCTGAGATGGACAGACATTGTCCCTGTTCTCATGGAACTTACAGTCAGGAAACAAACATTAAAGAAATAAACACACACATATATAATTTATTCAAGTGTGCATAGGAAGGAAAATAGAAGACTAAGAGAGAGGGAACCTGATTTATA